TGCTTTGCAACAAATTGTGCCGGTCTTTCAACAACACCCGCTTCGAACGCCTACAAGTGCAGTTTTTGCATCCCTTCCCACTTATTCACTAACTTCTAACAGAAAACGCTTGCGCTTTCACGTTTTACGAGCCGCAATAGAGCAGCGCTGACGGCTACTTTCGAACTAATCAACTGTTAAAGGAATACTTGTAATGAAATCTAGAAACCAATGCAGATACCAGCTCAACCCTGCTGCTCTAGTAATTGGTACCTGTGAGAGAAAACTACCGAAGGGAAACTGAAACATGTCCTCTCCGATCCTCTAGACCCTCAAAAATTCCCAGACTTCAAACTGTTGAAGTTTCTGGTACTTTTTTTCCTGGCCTCTATCGCACTCCTCTCTGTGCTAAAAGGTAGTATTCTAGATTGGCATACTTGAGAAGATTTTCCTAACTATAAAACGTTTTGTCATTCGTTTGACTCTTGCCTCCAGTTATGGTTACATTGCCTTCACTAGGCGGTCTGACCTCCGGACCACTACAGTAGCCTCGACTCCTTCCATTGTCAGGCACACCCACTTCGTTAAAGTATGATGACTTTTTGGAAGTCCCGAGGAACTATACCAAAAGGCTTTGAACACCAAGTTTAGTTTACCATTCAAACTTACTTTGAGAAAATCACGTTCAGAGGAGCAGCGAAACCGAATCTCGCCATGGTACCATGGCATAGTATCACAGCGGGAAAATGTCTTACATCTCAAAAGTCTTTAAAAAGTGGATCAGTTCCCATTCCAAAGCGGCTAGGTGCCTTAATTGAATAACATCTTTCACCAGCAGTCCCGTATTTTGATGTTGTCTTGAACCGTTACCTTTCAAATGAGCAATTAATCCAGGTTTCATTTTGGAAGCCTCAATAATTTAAATTACAAATGTGCTGGAAATCGTGCATAATACTGCAGTCTTCTCCCTTTGCGCACCAAGAAAAACCAAATTACGACCAACCACATGACATCATCATGATCACAAAAAACGAGTTATAAAAATCGTTCGAAATATTGCTTAAGCAAACGGGTTTTCAATCACACGTAACGGCTCATAAAAATCATGCGTGATCGACCATATAGGTGCAAAATACTACCATACATTACCTTCTAGTGGCCTCCAATATCACGAGTTCAGCATTACCGCGCCCTTGCATAGATGCACTTTTAAGAGCTCCGACATCAAGCGAATTGGGAAAGCTAGCGTAGTATGTAGCTTTATTAATTACTGCTTTAAAAAATCTGCTCATAACAGACAATTAGTACTCCAGAAAGTACCGAGGGCATCATTTCATCAGATTCTTCCTAAAAAGTAAATACATCTGCATGCTCAATGACTGATAGGGAGAACGGAGATGATACAATATCCTATGCTATTTAAACAATTATGATAGAGTTGGAAGCAATCAATGAATCAAGTACACAGCCAGTTATTCCTGAACTTTCACACAGCAAGGCCTAACCATGTAATTTTTCTAAAAGCACGCTTGACAAAACTGCAAACAACGCATTCCAGGCAAAGCAAATCAATGTACGAGAGCTAAAATTGGCGTATCCATGGTATACTTTTTGTCACAGTACTCGAAACAAACTTATCTGATCAACCTACGTGGCAGAACCCTTTCCACTCAGTACAACATATGGTGTTCCTTGTTTTTCAAGTTTCTTGTTCAATTTGTCTAGCGTTCCCAACGGAGTGTCCGAGCCAACACTATTTTTGATGAGCTGAAATTAGAGAACAAAACATTTTACTTAACTAAAACGAGTAGAGTCGGCTTCGTTGCAAAGGCGCCTACCGCCTCCTCAATTATCTTCTTGGTTCGTCTTTCAGTCTTCTTCTTGCCCGACCCCTTGCCATGGAATTTGTGACTGAGCTGTCGAAAAGCCTCCTTGGGAGTGAGGTTACGGCCCATCTCGTCCACGTAGTAGAGTTTTACGTCCGGCTTATAGCTGGACTTTTCGCGAAAGTCGCACAGAGGACCATTGTAGCGTTCACGTTTGGCAAACTTAGCGTCAATATCGTCGTAACGGACATCCTCCTTTACGTAGTGCTTCGCCATCAAGTTCACCAATTGACCCATCGGACGCTAAGAGAGATTGAATATTAAAATGAGAAAGTTCATTTACCATTACATGTATCGTTCGTTAACAACACCAATAAGCAACCAAAAGGTGTCTCTCTCATGCAGTAAGTGACTCTTCACGAAGCTGTTGATTGACTTAATAGACGAATCAAGCAGGTTTTTAAGAGTCAGCATCAAAATTCATACCATAATCCATCATCCTTACAGGAAATATCACAGTGGATGCAACCCGTACGACTAGATATCTCCACATCATTAAATGCTCAAATTCATCAAATGCACCCCCATGTCACTTTAAAAAAGAGCGATAAGGAGAAACCACCTACTTCTTTCTCCTTCTCCTCTTCCACGTAGCCCTTTTTCTGAGCCAGAAGCAAAGCCGAAAAGACGCCTTGATTCAGAGTAGGTTCCTCCTCAAACACTCCTCCTCCAGCGGATGCAGTGGGAGCGAAAGAGATGACATTAGTACCATCCTTATCCTCCCCATCTTTGAGCCTCCCTTTGCTGAACGACTTGTTCACAGGAACCTTTTCTTCGTAGTGACGGCGAGACGAGGAGTGCTCTGCAACACCACGTTGAAACGGCAAGTGTGAAGAGTGTAATAACAACGAATTGTAGGAAAAGCGTTGCTCACTGGTAGACGAGATGCATCGACTGCTGCTATCACGGTGGTGTCGCTCGCCTCTCAAATCTCTATCGCGCGCCCGCTGTCTTCTTTGGACCTCTGCTTCTGCCTCCGCCTCCGCCTCTAATTCCGAATCCTCTTCCCGCTTCACCAGCTTCGCAGTCACATCGTTCTGAAGTCCACCCGAGATCTGTTTAAAAAACTCTGCAGTTGCATCGAACACGAGACCGCCGCCACCACTGGAACTTGCATACTGGGCCCTCGGAACAACTGCTCCAGATTCCACCTCCTTCATTACCGCTTGCAACCTCTATTAATAAAAAGCGAGGATAAGGGCAATAGCTAATATGAAAAGATGCGAATAGATTCATCAATAAATTCATAATGAAAACAAAATTAAGAAACACTGCATCAGTACAAGACCATAAAAGCCTTATCAGACCTTTAAGGTATACCTGGTACACTTATTGCTTATTAATTTAAAGTAACAGTTTAATTGCGCGAAAATAAAGGATTAAAAGGCAACTGAAGCATTTAAGCAATAAGTTTAGACTTAGGATCTCAGACTTCACTAATAACTTGGTAGATTTCTTTAAAAAGTGGGGCAGATTTGCAAAAAGGCGCACTTCTTCAGGTTTCAAAATAGACTTTGCCAGATTGGCGTTGCGAACACGACTCAGCGTCTTCTCCAGCTCTAATTGAAGGTTGTCTGGTTCTAGTGGTTCCGCGATCCACCGGTCAACATCTGAATATTGAGACAATTACAAATCGTGCTTAGTTCCCCCCAGACTTAAGGGTAATTCAAGAAGAGAATGTAATAGTAACTAAAGCCTCTTTCGGCAAGAGTGAATCGGTATAACAAAATAAGCAATAAGTTTTAAAAATACACATGAATTGATTTTAATGAAAGGGATCACCTTGACAATTTGGAAGATCATACAAGAAACTGCAAAAATAGTTCGTTTGGGACGGATTTACGTTAATAGAAGTCGGATCAATTCATCTTCTTATCAAAAAGCTATATTTGCTTCACATAAGTCAAATTCACCTATTTGAATAACCCCTTGTAATTAGATTCTGTTCAATGTTTGAATAACTTAAAGTATGGGAAACCACAATGCGCTGCATTGTCCCTGGTAAGTATGCCAGCACTAACTTCAAGTTAGCTAATTAAACAAGCGCAGTTATCCTCCATTTGACCTAAGCACTACTTTCCTCACCATCATCAAGCTGGTCTTCCTCCTCGGGAACCGTTTGAACAGAGAGGAGAGCCGCGATCGCAGGATTCAAGCCGCTCAAAGGAGCGAGCGCTGATGGCTTCATATCTTCATCGACTTTCCTCACGTCCACTACCTCCCCCTCCTCCTTCAGCGTCGGTCCAACCATGTCCTGCACCCCACGACGGCCTCGAGAACCGTGGTCGGTAGAGGAAGCGAATGAGGCTCCTGAACCTGAAATCAAATCATCCGCGCGCAGAACCCTTCGCTGAACTTTCCTCTTCTTCTTCTTCTTGAACTGCGCCATCTCGTCAGCGGTGTAAAAATCGGAAGCTGGACGTAGTTCCTTATCTTCTAGACTTTGCTACGCCCAAAAAGACAATTTATAGTTACGTACAAAGTCGTCCTATTTCGATAAGTGCAACACTAAACAAAATAAAAAGTCCAATTTGAAAAACTTTACGGTGTGCATGACCCCAGCATTTCCCTCAAAGTAAGTTTAAACCTAAGATATGTAGAATTCGAGCACTACTTTAAACCAACATCAAGACAATAACAAATAGGTCCTAAATTCGCGCATTCACCGGACAATGATAATGAAATAATAATTGTCGTCATATTGTCCGAATGATTCTACGTAATCTCAAAAGAAATAACCAAAAATGTGAGCTACGGTCGAAAAACTTGATAAAAAACCGCCTCCTCACCCGAGCAGTTTGGAGCTCCTCCTGCAAATGACGCAAGGCACGCTCGTGATCCGTGGCATAGGTACCATTGGCCTCAAGTATAAATTGAGCCTTTTTCAGCCCATTGATTTCGACATCATATTTTTCCAAAACCCCCTTTTCTCGGAGCCCCATCAGCACCTCTTCATCTTCATCTTGCAAAATACCTCCAAGACCTGCAAGTCTGCGCTTATTCGCGCGAGTGGTTTCAGCTCTTTCTTCGTCCTCCAAGTTTGTATTTATCAAAACATCAGACGTATCCTCGGCCAATATATCTATGATTTAAACAGCAGATACAAATTTTTTTGACATTAAACCTGAAGTTATGTTCTTTCATAACGCAAAACTTTGTTATGATGGGCAGACTACGAAGACGAAGGGCCAAAATTAAGTTCATAATCCGAGGTGCACTTAAAATAAGTAATGGTAATAACAAGTGATAGGAAGATCCAAATCCAGTGAATAAAATGTGTACCTTTATCCTTAAGAG